ACAATGTGCTATTGTTATTATTATTATTGTTATTATTATTATTATTATTATTATTATTATTATTATATTTTGTGTGCAAAAGGGCTTTAGCAAAGGGCATTCATACGGAAAGGCTTCCTGTTTATGCTGACCAAGGTTTCTCCCGTAAAGTAGTGCATAGCTGGGTAATCTGGTCGTCCTAGTGAGATTGCAACAGATGCATTCTTGAGGTGGGTGATTAGAGGTATGAGGCGAATACTACTGTAGCAGCTGCAATAGGGTGCTCGCATGGTTCAGCATACAACATAATGCATATTCGATTAAAATTTAAGAATGTGTGCTCAAGGTGGGTACCTAGATAATTAATGGTTAAACACAAAATGAACCAGTTAGGCCTGTCCTTGCGGCATCTCTGTCGATTTGCAGATACAGGAGAAGGCATTCTAGACAGGTTAATTACTGGGGACGAATCATGGGTGCATCACTGCCAACCTGAATCAACGCAACGGAAATATCCTTCTTCGCATTGTGTTAAAAAATTCACAGTTGCGCCATCAGCAGGAACAGTTAAGCTGACAGTGTTCTGTGAATGCCAGGGAGTACTTTTAACTAATTTCAGAGAGGTGACAATGTGAATGCTAATTCATGCTGTAAAGTTATATCGATGCTTCGTGACATAATTCGAAGAAAACGTCCAGGCCTGCTGACTAGAGGAGTACTGCTCCTTCATGACAATGCCAGACATCATGCGGCTCGGTTAACTCAGGAGAAAATTAACCATCTAGGATGGGAACTTCAGGAACATCCACTTTACAGCCCCGACTTAGCCCCTAGCGATTTCCACCTTTTTGGTTACTGAAAACCAACCTTGGGGAGAGACATTTCGCGAATGACGTAGAAGTTGAATTTGAAGTAAAAATAGAGTTTAGAAAACAGAGCACGCAGTTCTACGCAGCCTGTTTGAGATGGACTGATAAAACGATGGGACAAGTACATCGATGATGGTGGAAATTATATTGAAAAATAAAGGAACAGAGTATGTGTTTAAAAAAAAAACAGTTTTCAAGGTGTTATTGTTTTAAGTTTTTGTTTTTGTTTTTTTAAACAAAGATTTCTGACTTAAATACTAACTTTCACTCGTAAAACAAAGTCATTGAATGTAACCTAATTTAATACTCACACCCCCTCCATCCCTCCCCCACCCGACTAGACCTCAGTCAAATTTGGCCAGGTCAGAGTACCCTATCGTCCCAACCACAAAAATTACATGTCCTCTAATGCTAAAGAAAGCAGTCAGTCATCAACCCCAACGTCCGCATGACCAATACAGTCCTTTCCTGTTCACACACAGAAACGCGTGTAATCCCATCCTCACGCACCGCATGCCCAATAGCAGCGATTGAGTCTCTAATGCAGCGTCACTAACTCACAATTGTCACTAATACATGGCTTCAGATTTCGGAAAGAGGCTCCTTGATGTCCAGGTGTCTAAGTAGATCTCTTGCCTGCATGCTCTCAAATATACATCCTTGTCTACCTGCCGGTCTGTCTGTCTCTCTACCCGTCTGTCTGCCCGTCTGTCTGTCGGACGATCTTCTTCTCTTTCTGCTTCTTTCTTATTCTCTCTCTTTTCTTTTCTTTCTTCTTCTATTTCTTCATCCCCTTCTCCTACTTCTCTCTCCTCCCGCCCCGCTCCCCCTTTTTTTTTTACAGCACAAGGCAATCCCTATCAGCACAAAGAAACATCTCATACAAAGCATATTCATTCCCACCCTATGCCAATAGTGCTAGACGTGGTCACTCATTACGAAACATAAAGGAAAATTAGTAACCATGGAAATGAGATGTCTGAGAAAGACTGTAGGAGTGACCAGAAGAGACCAAATCAGAAATGAGGTCATACTAGATAAAGTCGGCATAAAACCAATTCTAAATTACATTCAAAGACAGCAAATCAAATGGGTTGCCCACTTGGAGAGAATGCCTTCTGATGCTATACCATACAAGGCATATACCAAAAATAGGAGAGGGAAGTAGAGCAAGAAGTAGACCAAGAACAAGATGGGGTGTTAACATCAGTGAAACTCTACAGCACCAACATGAGCCTATGGTCGAAGCAGCCAGAAGAGCAGCCGGAATCAGGACCGAAGCAGGACCTTGCTTCTCCCTCGACATCTGAAGCGGTAAGACACGACGTAACAAATCAGATATGACGGTGATATAAGTTGTTGTTGGTGGTAGTAGTTACAGTGTGGCGGTAGCAGTAGAAGTAATTGTAGTAGTTGTTGTAGACGAAGAAGACAATATCCTTTATCTATTGATCTCTGCCTCTAATGGGACAGCCGCATATGGAAGTAACAGTCAGTGAGTTCGGCGGTTCTTTCGAAATATCCTACCCCCAGATGACGTCAAAGGACAGTTCAACATTTTAGAGGGTGGTAACACTGGGTTTCCCGGCTTTCTGATGCTTTTAACAAACCCAAAACATCTAGAACTGGCCCTAACCCCAAACCATCTAGGTCCCACGAGAGACTGCAGCCTAGGTCCCACGACTGTATGCAGCCTAGGTCCCACAACTGCATGCAGCCTAGGTCCCACGACTGCATGCAGCCTAGGTCCCACGACTGCATGCAGCCTAGGTCCCACGAGAGACTGTAGCCTAGGTCCCACGACTGCATGCAGCCTAGGTTCCCACGACTGCATGCAGCCTAGGTCCCACGACTGCATGCAGCCTAGGTCCCACGACTGCATGCAGCCTAGGTCCCACGAGAGACTGTAGCCTAGGTCCCACGACTGCATGCAGCCTAGGTCCCACGACTGCATGCAGCCTAGGTCCCACGAGAGACTGTAGCCTAGGTCCCACGACTGCATGCAGCCTAGGTCCCACGACTGCATGCAGCCTAGGTCCCACGAGAGACTGTAGCCTAGGTCCCACGACTGCATGCAGCCTATCTACCACCCATTGAAATATCAGACTGTCTCGTGACCTATGGATTTTCCCTATTTGGGGTAGGATATTAAGAAAGCACCAGTTCAGCTAATGCTGTATTGGAAGAAACCGTCATCTGTTGTCACTTGTCCCTAATACTTGATGGCAACAGCAATGCTCTTATCTCTTGGTCTCATTGGTGGAGCTACTTAGGGCGAAGAAATTCCCGTGTATGACAGACTGAGTTTATTTAATGTGACACTGACATTTCCAACGAATGCTCCATTCTCTGTTTCATAATTTTTTCTCATTCGCAGCAGCTGTCGTTTTGAATTTCTTTTTCTAAGAGATATTTCAGCATACTGATACAATAAGGAGCAGCCGTTGCATACAGGTTAGTGTGTTTGCATATGGAGATAATGGAGTGGGTTCATTTCCCCTCAAAAGGCAGCATTCTTGTGTAGACCTAACGTCTTAAAAATTGGACACCAAATCTTTTCATAAAAAAAAAAAAAGAATAGTCTAAGGTAGAAATAAAACAAAGAAGACTGTTTTGTGAAGCTTAGAATATGTTCTTTTTCAGCATTCTATCCCTCAATGGAGCATAGGTCCTCAAACAACTTAGCCAAGTCGTTCTTTCCTTTGCTGTTGCACGCCGTTTTTCTATTAGAAGATCTTCTACCAGCATAGTTGGCTAGGTATTTCTTGTTTCTCGTACTGACGTTTCCATGGTTGTTTGGATTTCGGTTAATATGGTTTTTTTTTTTTTTTGGAGGATGAGGTAGCCAACCAAGCCCAACCTTACGCTTAGTCGCCTCTTAAGACATGCCTATTAGGGTGCAGTGATACTATTCTTTGCTTCCTGTGAAAGCCCCTGTAACACTTGGGCAAGAATATGTTACATTCCACCTCGACATCTTATATGCGACCACTTTACTAGTAAACTCATCCACGTACATTCAGTGCTGTCTTAAGGAATACGGCCTGCTGAGTATGATTCGGGACCGATTTTCTTTTTTGAAAGTCCGAAAGCAACGGTGAATAGGTGGTTTGTAGAGAAGATTCTTCTGATCTACTTCATATCCTTACCCTTCCAAAACTGCAGGTTACACCTGGCTGGTGCGGCCGTCACGAGCGCCCTAATTATAATTTTCTTAGCGGGTTGAACGGGGTATATGGGTTGCCCTGGTGGTCTGCAACATGCACTAAGACATTTAAGTATTACGATGTCCAATCTTCAGATCCTGTTGGTCTGTCCTTAAGATGGAGATCTTCTGATCTCACAGTTTCAAGCCCCGAGGGGATAAACGCCATTCACGCACGCACTCCTATTCTTAGCTTTCACCTATCAACTATATATAGTTATAGCAATAAACTCCATCAGAACGTTTTGGTTGTTCGTCCTCTTCTGGAGTTTGGTCTTGTTTCCGAACTTGAATAGTGGGTACACATAATATTTACAGCTTTTGCTTACTTGTATACACATCGGTGGTTAGTTGCCTTGACTTCGATGAAAAAACATTTATGTTATGGAGGCTGTTAGTTTATTTCTCTCTCCACCCTCCCTCCCTCTTCCATTTCTCCTCAAACGAGAGCCTGGAACCACTGGGAAATAAGGAGGATGAAAATAATAATTGGAGCTGCCTAGCAGCAGGTGCTGTAGGAAGAGCAGCAAGAGGAGAAGGAGATCAAAGAAAACGGGGGAAGATGAGGAGGGGGAGGTAGAAGAAGAACAAGAACATGACTACGGTAAATGAGGAGTAGAGAAAGAAAGAGGAGACCAAAGAGGAGGAGGAAAAGAAAAAAAAAGAAGACAAGAAGGAGAACAGAAATGGGAGGAGTATGAGAAAGGAAGAGGATGAGGGAGGCAAAGAGGGAGAAGGAGGCGTAGACGGAAGGAAAGAGCAGGAAGAGGTGAGGAGGAGAAGAAGAAGACGGAGATGAGAAGGAGGAGAAGAAGAAAGAGGAGGCGAAGAAAGAGAGGCAGCTGTTGAAGAAGATGAGATGGAAGAGGACGATGAGGTGGAAGAAGAAGAAAAGTGTAGAAAGCATTCATGTAAAACACCCAGTACACAAGACATTGCTAACTTACCCGTGTATGTGTATTGAACTAAATTGGCCAAAGCTTCAGCATCCACATCTTTGATCTGAATCTCATCCATTGTAGCCTCCCGGACGTTGTTGGTAAACATGGCCGCAAAGTAATCCGAAGTGGCGCTGAGGACCAAACGATGAGCCGGGATTCTCCGTTCCTCCGCCACCAAAACAACATCACAGAGCTGTCTTTTGCTAGCGTACATCTCTAGCTTCTTCATCATGCGCTCCGCGTGGTTGTGGGACCGAAACTCGTCCACACCCCCCGTAGGGTCCTCCATCCGGGTCGGGGGTCCTTGTAGATGAGCATAGGTGTTGTGAACCAGGTACCTGCAGAAAAATGAAAGAAAATACCATTTGTGATCATTCTTTGACAACTTTCTGTGTCACCTGTGTTGACACGATATCAGGACGTCTTGTTTGAGATTGGAGGTGGAGGCAGTCACTGCTGCCTTCCGCTGGTTTGAGTCAGCTGTTCACAAATGCCGTGATCGTAACTAACTCACAGAGCAGGCTGAGAAAGGTGCAGAGAGGCATGCTGCGTGCAGAGTAGCAGGCATCACTTTAGAGTTTCCAGGTAGTTAGCGTCCTTTGGATATTTGCTCCAGTTATGCCGGTGTGTTGGGAAATGAGCAGGCAGAAAGACTGGCTGGTTCTACACCACTTGGTGGTGAACTGATGTTTGACAAGCTAGATATTGTGAGGGCCCTGTGAGAGCGAGGGAACAGTGCGGAGGCACAAACAGGTCACTACGGTCTGAGAGGAATGGCGCTGCGGGGAGTTACCAGGGATCTGACAGACGCTCTGCACTCAAGGAAAGGCCAAGACGGATATACAATCAAACAGTTACTGGTACCATCGGAATTGGAACTCGTCGCTTGCTGCTGAAGATGGGGATGGAGCGCTTATGGGGGTGTCCCGAGTGCTGTGATGTCGATTCTTAATTCAACATTCAACATGCTGTGTTGAGAAAGAGAGTTTAAAATTTATATTGAACCACTCTAGAGGTAATGAGTAAATAAATCCTAAGATACCCATCATAGAGGATAAGAACAGACAAATCCTTAATCAGAAAACGGCAAGATTGGAGGAATAGACGGAATATTGTAAAGACTTATATGATCAAGAATAAAAGCCTGAAACTACAGCCCTTGGTAACATCCTTGGGGAAAATAGAGAAGCTGACGAGCTTGAACAACTGGGGAAATTGCAGAGGTTGGGGCGGGGTGTCAAAGAAAAAGGGGGCAAAGAAGAACCTGGAATGACATCATTCAAGAAATGGACAGGACTAAATACACTTGTTCAACAAGGGAAAGACTGAGAATGATGGCTGTTTTTTGTGTGCAAGTGCTTCCATCAATACATTTCCACGACCCAAACTGGTCAAGGGTCAAGTTATGTTAGGAAGTAAGGAAGCGAATTATTGACAAATAAGGTTGGTTGCGTATCCTTTACAGGACGTTGCAAAACCAACCCCAACAGCCCCTGGTTGTTGTATGGTTTTTCTAGGCAAATTTACGTCCAGTAGTTTGTCATTGCTTGCTGGACGGTCGGCTGTATTGATACCACTGTCGAAACCAACGCAAGGTGCATGGCCCGCAGCTGGAATCGAACCCGGCATCCCGGCATTACGAGGTGTTCGCATCGACTTAGCCACAGAGCCGACATTGACAAATAGTTTAAACAATTTGTGAAAATTGTGGAGATATGAAGAATAATGATAACACCATGGACATTTACAAAGGGCCAAAAAAAAAAAATATTTTGGCATCAGTTAACACCGGCCAAGACAGCCATTTGAACCCATTGAAGCCCTTCCCATCTTGAACCTAATTAGGAAGATTCAACCAGTCTCATTACATGCAAGAATCAGACCACTTTGTTTAGATTTTCAAGTGGTGACTCAAGTTTGGGGACTGAATCTCCCCCCCCCCCCCCCCCCCCCCCAATAAGGAAAGGCGCCAGAAAATACTGAATATGTGCTACAGAAATGTTCTCTACGTTTAGTAGAGAGATCCCAAGTATGGTCAGTCAGCATTACTTGGAAGCCAAGCTGTATGGATCAGTGGAGAACAGGCGTCATACCACAACCTAAAGTGACTCATGTGGGCCTTCTCAATTTTTAAAAACCGATTTACTGATTTACTGATTTAAGAATCGACATCATATCATACCCATAGATGCTCCGTCTCTCGCAGCAGATGTCTTAAGGTGTAGACGGTAACTTTTCCCGTAGCACACTGATCATACACACGTCGTTCTCTTTCCCGCATATGCATGTTTTTGCCAGATCCACCCCTGATTTCTCGTTTACGTATTCTTAAACATGTTATTTCATCAAGGTCGTGTTTTCCACCACAATTCGTTTGTGTGTGGCTTTCACAATATCTTCCTTGTCCAGTACGAGTATTCCTGCAGCGAATGCTTTTGTAGTCGGAAAATCCGCTGTCTGCTGTTTTATTACCTCGCACTCCTGCATATCACGGACGGTACATGCGTCATTCCCTGCAATGCTAACATACTGATGCTTGGTTTAAAACTACTTGTAGGGAGAACAGAAAAAAGAAGCAGTAATCTATTAACTCACAAATAACTTAGACTTTATAAACACATCTTCAGAAGGGAACACTGAAGCACGTGGCAACAAGGGTACAGTTTCATAGAGCGAGAAAGAGACTAAGAGAGACAATGCTGAAAAATTGTGCACAATGGTATGGAAAAATGTTTATATTAGCAAAGTACTGACCCAACTCTTACACAACCATGGAAGAAAAAAAATGGCAACTTTTGAAATTAAATGTTACAGAAAAATCTCTAGAATATATGGGCCAAGAAGACGAAAACGTTGATATCATACATGATTTGAACATCAAGGAGAATTTGCTCATAAACAATATCCTTTCCAGAAAGCTGGGGTATTTTGGCCAATTTGAATGTCATGGTAGCCTTACAAAAAGAAATGGAAGAGGAACATGAAGCAAAAGGCGACCTTGGCGAATGTGGACAGAAGACGTTAAAGAAAGATGCAGTGGCTAGGAACGCACATAAGGCTGGAGGATTGATTGAGACAGACACTTTTCGGCGGGCCGTGATGAGGGCGACGTTCTGTAAAGTACCTGCTAATTGGTGGCAATGAGGATAACTGCCAATTGATTTGAAAGAATGCTGAAGACAGACATACAGTAGTTGCCATCACCATGTGACATTTATAATGACACCGGTCTTTTGTTTAGTAGTGTTCAAAAGGAATGGAATCGGCTTTAATGCACAAGGTTTGTTTTTCCATACGGTTCGGTCTCTTTCTCTCTCTCTCTCTCTCTCTCTCTCTCTCTCTCTCTCTCTCTCTCTCTCTCTCTCTCTCCCTCTCTCTCTCTCTCTCTCTCTCTCTCGTAATGTTTTTTTCCTTGATATTCATAATATGTATATTATTATATGAATAGAACATACTTTATTATCAAAATACAACTGCTATGTAAAAGATGGGTGTATGGAAGGGCCGAATGGAAGACGTGCCTGCGTGCTTAATTGGTGACTCTTTGAAAATAAAGTTTGTTCGTTCATTCGTTCTCTCTCTCTCTCTCTCTCTCTCTCTCTCTCTCTCTCTCTCTCTCTCTCTCTCTCTCTCTCCAGAGCTGCTGTTGTTTTTGTACAAAACGGAAAAGCCCTAGCTCCAGGAACGACTACCTTGTAGACCAGTGCATCAGTAAGTAAAGGACTCTTTCTCAGGCCTGTCAGGCGTATTGGGTATATAGGGCTAGACCTATATTTTATAGACCAATCGACACTTGGCGGGTGATGTGGTTAGCATCATACCGGGCGCCTTTATTTCTCAAGACTGTAACTAGTACCCATTCAAAGCTGGGTCGACCTGGGAACCAAGGTCAGTTTGAAAAAATAAACATCCGGCACTACTCAGGAACCGAACCCACGACCCTCCGATCCGCAAGGGGGCGTCTAGCCGTCAAGGCCACGGCGACTCCCTCAGAGCATTAGTGGTCGAGAAAATTAATAGGCTCAGATAGCTACCAAACAGATACAATTTCAGCTAACCCATGAGTTGTCTACATTGTTGTCAAAAGTCAGTGGGTCGGTTCTTTCCCCATCGGGCCCCGGAACCCATAGCAGCCATATCATATTCCGCCAATGATTGTCAATATTCCCGTGCCATTTATCATATACCATGAAACTTTGAGTTCAGACTTGCTGCCTTCTATTATTACATGCTGATTATTACACACTGGGTATTTTTGTAACAAACAAGGTGTGTGCTGTTTCGATCTGCTGCCGGCCATCAGTTATCTCCTCTGGGAGAAATGTGATACATGGTAATATGCGGAGACATTAGTGCCAACCGTTGCTCTCTCTCTCTCTCTCTCTCTCTCTCTCTCTCTCTATATATATATATATATATATATATATATATATATATATATATATATATATATATATATATATATATAGTGTCAGGGAGTCGCCGTGTCGTATCGGCTAGGCGCACGCCTGCGGATCGGAAGGTCGTGGGTGCGCTCCCTGGCGGAGCCAAACTTTTGTCTAAAATGACCTTGATTTCCAGGTCGACTTAGCTTTGAGTGGATACCGGGTACAGTCCCGGGAAGTAAAACCGGCCGGCGTAATGCTGATCACACCCCCATCTTGTGGCGTTTAACTATAAAAAATATAGGTCTAGCCCTATATGCCTTATACGCCCAAAGGTGTTGAAAGAGATCGTTTACTTTATATATAGTGCACATGAGAGGGGTGTGCTGTGTATGACAGGGGGTATTGATTTGTTCGTGAACACAGCTAGCCGTTATCTAGCCTGACAAATCAACTCTTCTGTACACGATAGTGTTGATTTGCTTTGAATAAAGCGATTTAGTCCGACCAATGGACTGTGAGCTAAACATGGCGGTATTCATTTGTTTGTGACCATAACGGTTATTTGGTTCGACAAATGAACTAATCAGTATATATTTGTCAATATGCATACAATGACACAGACATACAGACGACAACAGGGACGCCGACACACATAATGCATTGACGGTGGAAACTAACAGGGCAAATTCTTGTTTAGGCGAGTAATAATTTTAAGCTGAATGACAAATAAATATAATAATAGTTTTTGAAACAATATATTACATATGTATAAGCGCTTTAATGTCTATACATGTTTGGAATGGGGGTGGGGGGAGGTGATTTAGTCTCTTTGAACGTTTTCTTGGGGGAGGGGGGGGGTAGCGCCAAACCCCAAACCTGAATTTTTTTGGGAAGGGGAGGAGGTATTTCTAGGTAGTGAATCCTCCTGGTTCCGTTGTCCCTACACATAG